TAATTCCAAAAAATAAAAAAGTTAAAAATTCTTTGTTTTGATACCCTATACGATTTGTTTGGTTTTTTTATTTTTATAACCTATTACTATTTTGCGCCAAAAATCCTCCATCTTTTTTTTCTTTCAAAAAGGCATCTAAGCACACTATGGTTTTAGGACTGATAAAACAATACCTTAACCTTCGAAATCCATCCAACCATTCGATAAAGAAATCTTAGTAAAAAAAATCACAAACAAACATAGAAGATCCGCGCGAAAAACAAAACCCGCCCTTGGCAGTCGGGTACAAAGTACGATCAAACCATGTACTTGTGTGTGGTAATTGGAGATTAAAAAACAATCAATACAAGATGGTTTCGAAGAATTATAAGGATGCTGCATGTTTGATAATGTAGGCTCCAAATTGAATTTGTGTTGTACACATGTCGCTAGTTGGATCTGTATCCAACTAGCGACATCTGTAATCAAGTAAGTAAACAAATTAGCTCATTCATTATGCTGTTTTTTACTAATATGTCAAACTTTTTAAATCGACGCCCCCCGCGAATAATCCGGTAATCGTAAAAGTGTAAATGTTCAGGAAAAATAAAAAAACATTTTTCCTCAATAACTCTATTAAACAATAAGTATCAGAGACTTTTTATATCGCATATTTTTTCAGCTATCTGGTTATTTCAACAAAATTAAAGTAGTCCCAAGGGCTTCGTTATAATTTAGCTGGATGCATTTTACTATATTAGTGTAGGTCAAGCTCTGGTCAGTAATGTCACTTACGATATTGTTCGTGTAAATTTATATTTTCGACGGCAACAGTAAAATCTTGTTGCGATATTATTCGTGTAAATTTATATTTTCGACGGCAATGGTAATATCGTATTGCGCTATTATTCGTGTAATTTGTTTTGTATACTGAACATTTGTAAAAAGTAATAATTAGGTTATTCGATTGTTTAACAGTAACGTACATTTTATTGTTTTGACTATTACTGTTTATTCGAATAGTTTACTTAAGTATTATTTGATGATTATTATAGTATATTTTATGAAATAAAGGACATTCTTGTAAATGAAACAACTTTGGTTAGTTTGACAAAACACGATAGTTATTATTATCATAAAAAATAGACACTGCACTGAAGACACGACTATTACATATGATGACACAGTCATGAAAATTATAATAAGGTCCTATTACAGTTGAAAATCTTAATCAGAATCCTTATCGTGACCTGATTCAGTATCACAAAAGCTTAAATTCCTATAACATGGTTGATAATGATGGGGAATTGCTTGGGAGTCACACAGGCTTATTTTGAATGTACCACAGTCTGAAGTGTCAGTTTTCCACTACAAAAGTAATAATATTTTTACAGGTTTTGACGCTCTTAACAAACTAGGGTTCTGTTACGATTGGCAAGCTCAAATTTCAGTTACTAGAAGAAGTTTCATTTACTAGAATGTCCTTTATTTCATAAAATATACTATAATAATCATCAAATAATACTTAAGTAAACTATTCGAATAAACAGTAATAGTCATAGCAATAAAATGTTACATAAATAAGGTAGAAAACTATTTACCCGAATAATATCGTAAAGTAATTTTACTGTCAAATCTTATTGATATTTTTTTTTGTAAAGATCTAAAACCATATTATTCGTTTAAAATACATTTTTGAATTTTTATGGCATATACACGTAATTTATTATATCTTCGTAAATAAAGATAGTAAAATTCTGAAAAAAAATTACATGGTGTATTTTAACTTCTAGATGCCGAAAAACGCATAACATGAAAAACCCCGTAATAGGTCATTACCGGATTATTCGCGGGGGACGTCGAAATGTATAAAATAACTAGCTGACCCGCGCAACTTCGTCTGCGTCTCTCAATAGTAATAAATTTTCTCCGTTTTTGAAACATTCTTCATTGGTGCTCCGCTCCTATTGGTCGTAGCGTGATGATATATAGCCTATAGCCTTCCTCGATAAATGGGCTATCTAACACTGAAAGAATTTTTCAAATCGGACCAGTAGTTCCTGAGATTAGCGCGTTCAAACAAACAAACAAACAAACAAACAAACAAACTCTTCAGCTTTATAATATTAGTATAGATAACACTGTCCTACACTCATTTTGGTGTCTGGGATTTTAAACCTAGTTCTAAATATATCTTATACAGTGATATCAGAAATTCAACAGATTTTTTGTATCAGCTCTAGTTCATGAGATATAAAAAGAACCGGTCAGGTACGAGTCGAACTCGTGCGCCGAGGGTTCCGTAACTACGTAAAATTTGTAAGTACCAACATTTTTCTTAATTTTCAACTTTTTTTATTTCTTTGGAATTATTCCTTTAACTGTGCTGTAAGACGTTTCTTTTTGTCAAATTTCGTGATTCTAGGTCAACGGGAACTACCACATAGGTTACACCGATCCAAAACCTATAGGGTACTTCCGGCTGACCTACAATTGTCAATTTTGGTTAAAAGCAAGGTCTTACCTGAAAACATTGACCATTTCCATCTACAGTTTTAACTAATTGTTTCATTAATTATAGGCACACCAAACTTCAAACACTTAAGTGTCCCTCTCTCCCATTTTCGCAAATCTTCAATACATATTTTGAATACACAATGAGGTCTTTACCTTGATTTCGATATCAATGCCGAAGTAAAGCAAAATACAAGTGAATTACAGTGTCTGTATTCGATTTTCGCTGAGTTTTCAGTATGTATTCACTATTAAAATACTAATACATATCAGGATTGTTAACACAACATCTGACGATCTAGCCATAATGAAATAATAAGATAAATTTTGTAGTTTTTATTGTAAGAAGGACTGTTTATTAAAAAGACAGATAAAAATTCAAAATGAAGCAAACCAGAGATGATGAGTTAAAATGAAGTGAATCAAAATATTATACATTACATTCCTTATCAAACACAGATAGAAATAGAGCTGCACCAAAAAAAAAATTGTAGGCTGTCTGTGTAATCAATTTTATTGCAGAACTGCTACAGTCTGCAGAGTAAAAAAAAAAACAATTATTATATTGGCGTAGTAGAGCTACTGCAATAGAGTAGTCAACATGAGAACAAGAAATCTTTATTAATAAAACATTATACAATGTAAAAAAAACCTGGAACAAACAGGACATCATTAAAATAAGCGGATGATGTATTATTCAATAAAATAGAAGCTATAAATCCCGATTTTCATGAATAAAACAAACGATTTCCGTCCTTTGCAATTTTTTTCTATACATTATCTGTTGTGGTAGGTTAGGTTCAAAATTAATGTGCATTTCAAATGTTCCAGACAATTCTTTAACATTCATTGCTTCATAAGTTTTTATAAACATATAATTTCACAACAAAGCAGTGTTACTTTGTAAGATATAACTCCGAAAAACAATGACAATTCATCTTAATTTATGTAAGTTTGTCTTTCGACATTCAATAATATTGGACTTTTTCAAGGTTAGGAACGATTAAGGTAGGTCAAAATTGGGTTACCAGACTAAAAAACCCATCTTCGTGGTTTTTACAGTTTAAGTCTGGTTTGTACTGAATCTGCAAAAAAATAAAAATTCCACAGTCGAAATATTGTTAACACTCCACTTTCAGCAGTGGGAAAAGCTTCTTCTACAGGTTTTAAAAAATGTAAAGGGAGGCATTTGAATAAAAATATATTTAGGGGATATGTTATTTGTATGCCGAAAATGCTCCCATTGAAAGGTCTGACCATTGTAAAGTGACTTATCGAAAAAACAAAAGGCAAATTCGAAAAATCGCCATTTCGAAATACTCAAGTTGTTAGATTTTATACAAACAGTTCAGCTTAATGTTCCTGTCATGCTTACCAAAAATCTGATGATCCGGTCCCGCCCCGCCGTCTCCTTCGTAAGCATAGTAAGAGAAAATTCCCACTCCGATGGCCGCCACGAAGTCACACCTCTGCTCAACCCACGCCGAGCATTCTTCCAGCGTGTTGAGGGCCGTGGCCACGTAGTGACACTCAAGCGTTGGCTCCTTGCGGATCAGACATATGTAATCCCCGAAGCATCCTTTGCCTCAGCCGGTATGAGAGGGTCCCGTGTTGCCTTTAGAGCCAATTCTCCATAACAAGTCTCACCGTCTACCCATAACGTTCATTCATCGTTTTGTCTCGAGAATCATGACTCCAACCCAACTCTCGCGCCTTCTTACTGATATAGAGAGCGCGCCACTGATATAGAGCAGCAAGGGCTCTCGTGTTCCAGGTCAAGTTCCAGGTCCCATGGTGGAGTTCGGGCCAGGAGACTCTCTACCTTAAAGGAAATCGTGCGGAAGGAAAGGGGATGCCCTTATGACCCTGATAGCCAGCACTTTCTGCGGTCACCGAGGCACTCCACCCATACTGGAGCCCCATAAAGGGCCATGGACCGCTCAACCCCTGAGTAGAGCCTCCTGCAGGAGTCATCGGACCCCACTTGTTGGGCAGCTATAACCAACTTGGGGACCAGACCTCGGCAATGATGCCCAAAGTCCCACCGGCCGTCGAGTACAAGCCCCAGATACCTCATCGTCATCAACTTAATCATCCTCATCAACTTAATTTAACCTATAATTAATTACCATAATAATATTTCGTTTTTTTATGTAATATGTCAACACTGTCTGTATCACAAAAACATGGCTGTCAATGTCAACTGTCAAAAGTTTTTATTCACGAAATAAAATATTAGTTTGGATGTACCTAACTTATTTATTTTCTTCAGGTTTATCACAAGTAGAAAGAGGGTATACTAAAGATTATACTCATTAAAAAAGTACACAATTATACAATATTCACCTACATAAAAAAAAAGTAAAAAGATTATTACTTGTTCCAGTGGACATTATTGTTAGGAACTAAAAATGAAAAAGTATTAGATTTAAATTGCAGTGATACTGTAGCGTCAACAATAAGAGTGTCTTTGTCTGATGTAAATTTTATAAAAACAGTTACAAAAGATGGAAGAATTATCGATGTGTAGAATTTGTTTATCCACAAATAAGAGAATGAAAAATCTCGTGGGTACATACCTTCAAAAGATGTACGAAGACCTAACTACGATGCTTGTAAGCTTTTATTGACTTTTTTCGATAACAAACAAAAAAAAAACAACAAATCACCCTTTGCACTGTTGTCCTGTGTAGTTTGCTCTCTTAGTTGGCTCTTACGACGCCCACGGGATGAACCGGGGTGCCGACACTCCATATTTTTATCCGTCGCTACAAGGGTACAAAATATTTATTATCTATTTAAAAAACAAGAACAATATTCTTGCAGCACAACACTGATTATGGCTTTTGAACCTTTCCTAAGCCTTTAATAGTCCACTGTCCTTTATTAAGCCTCTCCTTAGGTTTGGGCCTACCATACCACACTGACCAGACAGGATAATATAGATTGTTTCATATTGCCTTCTATTTGCAGTGATGTGGTCCTTCATAGTTTACTCCCTTAGCTGACTCTTACTTATGACACCCATGGGATGAATAGGAGCGGTGACACTACATATTCTTAATCCATCACCATTCTGATAACCTTTTTCAGTATATACTTTAATTGATACATCATCAGCTGCCTATAATAGTGCACTGCTGGACATAGGCCTCTCCTTAGAAAGAACGTTTTTCCTTACTGTGCCATGCTAGCGAGACGGGTTGGTATAGGGTTTGTGTCAAGTTTTCCTTCTTTTTGCAGTGCTGTTGTCGGATAGTGGTTTTCTCCCTTAGTCGGCTCTCACGACACCCACGGGATAAATGGGGAAAGGATGATGATTACAGAGATTAGATTAGATCATACTAGCGTATTAATTTAACTATGAAATTTGGCAGTTCGTAACAAAAGACAACAGACCAATAATGGTGTGCTATATCTGCTGTGCAAGGCTCAAGAATAGCCACCAGTTGAAGATGAGGTGCCTTCAGAGCGAGAAGCTCTTCACTCAAGTACTGGCCGACAATGTGGTGAGTACTTAATAGAAAATGAGTAAAAAGGGACGGTTTAAAAGGAACATTCCTTATGAATGTGAAAATCTAACCAATAGTTAGGGTGAGTCCGAGGACAAATAATTGTTTGATAATAAATGATACCCAGATACAGAAGAAATGATCTTCTGTATCTGGGTATTCTTTATATAAAATATTTATGTACACATTTAGTAATACATAAGAATGTTTATCAGGTGTCTGGTTTCTATAGTATCTATAGCTCATGCCTAGCTTGAGATGAGATGATCATGTCTCATATCACCATCACCATCTTGATCATCACATAAACAGCCTTTAATAGTACATTGCTGGAAATGGAACGTCAATGTGATATAGTAGGCCAAAACCTCCTTTCTAAGGAGAGGCCTATGTCTAGCAGTGTGTTATATATGTCAAATTAATTATTAAAATCTCTTAAAAAAATAGACTTGACTCTACCGTACATTAAATTCTTTTAACTTGATTGCAGACAGTACCAGACATACAAGAAGACACAATCAGCACAGACAGACTTCAAATAACTCCTGTTATACATCTTAGTATAGGAAATGTCCAGAACAGTGTACTGTGTTCTGCAGAGAAAGAAATCAAGAAGGAGGTGCCAGAAGTAGAAGTAATAGTGAAGAGGGAGGTTTCTGAGGAACCTCAAGGTATTAGACATCTTTTAAACAGATTGAGTGTTGGTGACTGCAGACTGTGTTGCGCTGAGTGGTTTTTCTTCAATCCCTCCCCACATGGCACAACACTGTGTTATCCACAAATTGTTGGTCTTAGTCTGTATGTTTTTTTAGTCCGTTTCATGTATGTTTCTAAAATCCCTTGCAGCATAGGATATTCCTGGTGCAGGAGTTGTCTTTTTAAAAAGGGGAAAAAAGGGGGTGATCTTACATGAAATAAACTCTTTAATTAAATTAATAGTTAGCTTTTGCCCGCGGTTCCGCCTTTACACCAAATAATTCACCTAAATTGGTTCAGCGGTTATTGATTATCCAAACGACCTTCTACCCCCCTTTTTTACCCCCTTAAAGCATGATTTCTGGGATAAAATGATGATGCTGTGTCCCACAAGGCTGTGTGCTATCACCCACACTGTTTCTTCTGCATATTAATGACATGTTGCAGACTAGTAGCATCCATTGCTATGCAGATGACAGCACAGGAGATGCCCTTTATACCGGCCGCCCCAACATTTCTCGGGAAAACGTAATCGAGAGTCGTAATAAACTTGTCTCTGGAATTGAAACTTCCTTAGGGTAGGTTTCAGACCTAGGCATCGACATGTCGAGCGAAGTCCAGTTTCGGGGTCACTTAGAGGGTAAGGTCAAATTGGCCTCGAAGAAGCTGGGTGTGCTGAACAGGTCGAGGCAGTATTTCACTCCGGCCCACCGCCTTCAGCTCTATAAGGCGCAAGTCCGGCCGCATATGGAATACTGTTCTCATCTCTATGCAGGGGCACCTTAGTACCAGCTTCTCCCTCTGGACCGCATCCAACGAAGAGCGACTCGAATAATCGATAGCCAAAAGATTTGCGACCGGCTCGATTCGTTGGCGTTACGTAGAGATGTAGCTTCACTCTGCATTCTCTATCGTATATATCATGGAGAGTGCTCCGAGGAATTGTTCGGACTAATACCAGCCGCAAATTTCCGCCATCGTTCCACACGTCAAAATTTTCATCCTTATTACCTGGATAGTTGGCGCTCCACTACTGTGCGCTTTTCGAGACATTTTTTGCCACGCACAACCAATCTGTGGAATGGTTTATCGTCTGCGGTATTTCCATCAGGTGACCCGTCTGCTCGTCTGCCCCTCTAACATAAAAAAAGAGAGAAAAAAAAACTACAAAATGCCCTTTCCCAGGACTCGGGCCATCTCTGAACCAAACTTCATCTAATTGCAGCGGTTTAAGCATGAACAGGTAACAGACGGACAGACAGACACACTTTAGCATTTATAATCCTAGTATGGATTTTAAATACATACTAAATACAAACACTCGATGTACACTCAATATATTTAAAATTCCAACTATAGTTGTCAACCCACTTTCCTAATAGCAGGCAAGCCTATGGGCCCCCAACCAGCCCATCGAGATTTTATCATAGAAACGGTATCATTTTATTGTTAGTATCACTAATATACTATTTTACAAAACTATTTCCAGATTGCGTGGATGAGTCTTTTCAAGAGTATTATATAACACTAGAAGACAACATGGTACCGATGGATTCAGACGATTTAATTACATTAAATACAGGTAAGATATTAAATATAAAACCCCACTTATTAGAAAGTGTTGGTTTTTTTTTATCTCTTGATAAATTTGAGAATCATCATCAACAGCCTTTACTAGTCCACTGCTGGACATAGGCCTCTTCTTAGTAAGGAGTTTTTGGCCGACTATACCACGATGGCCAGATGGGTTGGTATAGGGTTTGTGTCAAGCACCCCTGCCGGGCCCATTCGCACCTGCCCCCTCCAACGAGGGTTGGCAGGAGGTCGACGTGGGGGCTGGTCGCTTTCGAGATGCGATTACGCATATCTGCGATGCGGCCATGCCCCGCATTCGTGACCCCTGGGGTCGCCCTTACCGCGCGGCGCGACAAAAGCTCCGCGCGTCGGGCCCCCCCCTTACGGAGACTCTCCAGCCCAGCTTCCTGCGAGAAGTGGTTGAGGGCCTTTGCCCGCAACGAGCGGAACACACTCCCCCGGCGATGGCCTCCCTGGCCGGAGACGACGGGGAGCACGAGGAGGATAATGTTCCGCCCGTCCGGAATTCGGAGGTAGGGGCGGCTGTTCTACGGATCCGTTCCGGACGGGGTACTGGCCCGAGTGCTGGCCCTAGCCCTCAACCACATGGCAGACCGCCTCGGGGAGTTGTTCGACGCTAGCTTGGCGTCGGGACGTTTCCCTGAGTGCTGGAAGAGCGGGAAGCTGGTCCTATTAAGGAAGCCGGGACGGCCTGCCGATTCGGTCGCGGCCTACAGGCCCATCGTGCTGCTGGACGAGGCGGGTAAATTGTTTGAGAGGGTTCTCTCTGCCCGCATCGTCCGGCACCTCTACGAGGTGGGCCCCGATGGGCCGCTGTTTTGCGCCTGAGGGCCGTGACCAAAGAGGCCGTGAGCTGTGGCGGCGTGCTGTTGGCGGTGTCATTAGACATCGCCAAAGCATTCAATAGTCTGCCATTCAGCTGCATCAGGGAAGCACTCCACTATCATGGGGTGCCAAAGTACCTGAGGCGGCTAGTGGCAGACTATTTAGAGGAGCGTACCGTCGTGTACGAGGACCGAGATGGTAATTTGAGGTGTCGGCCCATGTCGTGCAGTGTTCCACAGGGGTCTGTTCTTGGACCCCTCTTGTGGAACATAGGGTACGACTGGGCCCTTCGAGCCGATTTCACCCCCGGGCTGGGTGTAATTTGTTACACAGATGACACTCTGGTGACAGCACGGGGGGGCGAACTTCCAAGAGGCGGCACGCCTGGCCACAAGGGGAGTCTCCCTGGTGGTCGGGCGCATTGAGGCGCTGGGCTTACGGGTGGCCCTAGATAAGACGGAGGCTCTGTTATTTCATGGGCCCCGTCGTGGTCCACCCCCTGGCGCCTCAATCGTGGTCAACTCGGTCCTCGTACCGGTTCGGGCCCAGATGAAATATCTGGGCCTGATCCTCGACGGGAGGTGGCTCTTCGACGAGCACTTCCGACAGCTTGCTCCAAAGCTGGTCGGCGCTGCGTCTGCCCTAGGGCGACTTTTGCCCAATTTGGGTGGACACAGCGTCGCGACAAGACGGCTGTACACGGGGGTTGTCCGGTCAATGGCACTATACGGTGCACCGGTGTGGGCGGCGGCTCTGACCGCCCAGAATAGGGCACGCCTCTGGCGCCCTCAGAGGGTAATGTCGGTCAGAGCCATACGCGGTTACCGCACCGTTTCGACGGAGGTGGCGTGCGCGTTGGCCGGAACTCCCCCGTGGGATTTGGAGGCGGAAGTGCTCGCCGAAGTTTATCGGCGAGTGGCTGACTCCCGGGCGGAGAGCGGATTTCGCCCTCCGCCCGAAGACGTGCGCGAAAGGCGCGAAGCCGCTCGCCGAGCCACGATGGCTCATTGGTCGTTCCGGCTGGAGACTCCACGCGCTGACTTCGCCGCCGTGGAGGCTCTCCAGCCGGTCATCGCCGAGTGGGCAGGGCGGCAGCACGGGACCCTTACCTTCCGGCTGACGCAGGTGCTTTCCGGGCACGGTTGCTTCGGAAAGTACCTGCACTCGGTCGCTAGGAGGGAACTGAGTCCCGCCTGCCACCACTGCGACTGCAGTGAGGACTCGGCCCAGCACACGCTGGCGGTCTGCCCCGCATGCGACAGTTGTATTACCGCGGTCGCAACCTTCTGCGAGGAAGTAATCTCGCAGAAGGAGGCGGCGGAGAAGGCCCGGGAGGACGACCTCCACTCGGACCCGATCCGCCGCCGGCGAACCGGGCGGCGGAGGCGCGCTTATCACCGCCTCATGCCGCCCTAAGTGTGGCCGCGGGTGGACGGGGTCAGTTTCCCCACCACCCGCATTAGTTTGGCCAACCGCGAGGGGGCGGCGTCCGCGTGTGCCGGACGTCGCCTATATAAAAAGAGAGGAAAATTTTGAGACGGAGCCCGCAACAGGCGCTAGGAGGGGTCCGGATGTCTTAATAACAGCTGTTCCCGGATCCCTCCTATTACAGGCGCAGAGTGGCACACCGTGTGGTTTTAGTCGGTCCGAGTCCGACACCACCACACCCCGCCGCAAACCCCAGTGGGGTGACGGTCCGAGGGGATTTCCACACGTTAAAAAAAAAAAAAGGGTTTGTGTCAAGTTTTCCTTCTCTTTGCACTGCTGTTGTCGTGCGTAGTTTGTTGCCGAGTCGGCTCTTACGACCCCCCTGGGATAAATAGGAGTGGTGACACCCTCTGAATATATTTGATTATTACTAGAATACAATTAAAATTTATCAAACTACTTATAGAATTATTTTATTTAAAAATAAGTAATTCTTAGATAATTTTACATATTGTATGCAAAGTTACAACACTATCATAACTTGATTTGACCTAAGCATTTGATTGTGATCACAAAATTTAGCGAATACAAGGTGTACCCCAGGGACTAGTAATAGGCATATTCTTTTGTGTTTGCTTTCATGATCAACCTTCCCATTTTGTAATTAAGGTTAGAAATTAAATAACATTTTTTAAATTAACGTAGATGATCCCACCCCACTAGGCTTACGAGAACTTAAATTTAAAATTAATAGAAATAGTTGATGCAACGCCATTTTATTTAAGAAAAATAATTTTTTGTTCACCAGAACCTGAAAAATCCAGACTAGCCGCGCAGAGACTAGACTGTGAGGAATCTCCATGTACCCTAGATATATCAGAAGATAATTCTAAAAGGAATAAAAGTATTACTAATAAGGACATTAAAAATAAAATTGACAGATACAAAAACATTAAAAAGAAAAAGACTGGTGTATCGAAATATAATAAACACACTGGTGGAAAAAAACACGAGTGTGATATATGTTATAAATTTTTCTCATCCGATAAGAACTTACAGCGACACCTTCGAACGCACATTAGTAATAGAAAATACAAATGTAAAATATGTCATAAAAAATTTACTTGCAATGATCATTTGCATAGACACATTCGTGTGCACACTGGTGAAAAACCTTACGAATGTGAGACATGTAAAAAAAAATACAGTGCAAAGAGTACTTTGAAGAAACACATCATTTTGATACACACCAAAAATCCCATTTCAAATAATAAATTTGATACTATTTCAAAAGTATTTAGTTGTGATATATGTAAGAAAGAATTTCCTGGGAAAGGTCAAATTAAAATTCATATGCGCACACACACTGGTGAGAAACCGTACAAGTGCAACATGTGTAAAAAAGCTTTTAGTGAAAAAAGTACTTTGAATAAACATGTGCCTATTCATAGTGATGAGAAACCTTTCCAGTGTGATAAGTGCGATAAAGGGTTTAAACGCAAGAGTCATTTAGACACACACATTCGAACGCACAGTGGTGATAGGCCTTACAAGTGTGATATGTGTAAAAAATATTTTTCACAAAAAGGGTCATTTGACTGAACACATACGTGTGCACACTGGTGAGAAACCATTTTCTTGTGACTTTTGTGATTATAGCTTTAGTCATAAGAATTGTTTGAATAGACATATGACGCGTGCGCATGATGTTGAGAGAAGAAATCGTTGATTTACCTACTAATTGCGCCAAAAAACAGATTATGTTTTCAGTGTATATACTCGTATGTGTTTATATTTCTTTACCACACTCTGTAGATGAAACGTCTTGGTGGATTTTGGTGTTTAAGGTGTCGTTAGAAAGACACTGGGTGCATAACTTTTTTTTGTATATTTTCTGTATGGCTGACTGACTGGCCCGTTGGTCTAGTGGTTGGTGACCCTGACTGCTACTCCAGAGGTCGTGGGTTCGATTCCCAAACAGGACAAATAATTCTATGATGAGCACGGTTATTTCTTCTGTGTCTGAGTGTAATTTATCTATAATACATATGTATGTAGTTAGAAATATATAAGTATGTTTATCAGTAGTCTGGTTACCATACTACAGGTCCTGCCAAGTTTGGGATAAGGCAGCCGTGTGTGAGATGTGTAAAAATATTAAAAAAAAATATATATTATTATATGTTAAGTTAACACTTTCGCGCGTTTTTTAATTAATTAGCTTGTTTACATGTGATGTTAATGTTACCTTACTGTTATTATAATATTTAATCAGGGAATTAAGTATTAAAAACTAACAAAAATGTCGAGAGAGCTCAAATATAGTTTGTGGTGTTTGATTCAGGTATTTGATTTAAAGGTAAAATCATGTATATGTTACCGCTAATAGGCGTAAATCAGTTAAAGTGTAGATAGACTTATTAATCTGCAGATTATTTGGGCCTTAATTCTGCTATTTTAATATTGTATCAATAGACTGTCGATGGAATGTCGTCGGAATAGTTTTGCACTTTTCCTATTCTACTAACTTTGTAAGACCAATGGGCTTTCAATGACTTGTCACTGATACAAATGTCGTCAACAATGTTAAATTAAAATACAATGTTAAAAAAATGTTATATTTAATTTTCCAGGTATGGCAATGTTGTTGATATCACCATTGATGACCTGTATTAATATATCGACAGTGTGTTGACACTGTGATTTCATGTTAGTAGAATACTGATATTTTGACCGATGTCAATGGCGTCTCAGTGGCATCTCAATAGCGTGTCAATGGAATGATAGTGGCTTTGCGTTAACATAAAATAGCAGAATTGAGACCCTGATTGAGTACGTTGAGGTGGAAAAGCCTTACATGATGTGTACCATCTGGCGGAAAGCACTAAAGTCCATTCTTATTAAGAATATAGTGACGCATCAACCAAGTCCCACACCTTGACCAATCAGGTTCCAAGAATTTATTGTTTCGTACGAAAGCTTTGAACCTGATTGGTCAAGGAGCGGGACTTGATCCATACGTCTTTATTTTCTTAACGCGAATGGAATCAAATCAAATGGCGCGCGGTTACCAGCTTTCTGTTACAGCACTTCACTGAATCTATCCTATAGATTACATTTAATAGTCCACTGCTGGACATAGGCCTCTCTTTAGTAAAGAGGTTTTGGCCTACTATACTACGTTGGCCAGACTGGTTGGTATAAGGTTTGTTTCAAGTTTTCCTTCTCTTTGCAGTGCTGTTGTCCTGCGTAGTTTTCTCCCTTAGTCGACTCTTACGACACCCACGGGATGAATAGGGGTGGTGACACTCCGTATTCTTTATCTGTCACCGCACCGAAACGGTTCCAATGATATTGGTAGAAAATAACGCCACTTCGTAGAGTGGAAAGTTAAGGAATGAAGAAACAAGTTTATTATACTACGTTATGATTTAGACGCATGAAATCATTTCGTCAATCAAAATGTAGTCTTTTTGTTTTTGCTTATTTGTTACTGTAAACTTATTATTTAGTTAAATAAATATATTTGCAAAATAAATACGTTTTTTATTAGCTATATATGGCGTATCTGTGGTAAGTACATACCTACTTTTTTTAAAGACAACTCCCGCATTGGGAATATATCCTGTGTCGCGGGGGACTGTACAAACATACATGACAAAATGAATACCCAGACAGAGAAAAACAATTTGTGGAAGTGTCGTTTCAGCGAACCCACTACACTCTGCGTAATAGAAAGCGGCGTGGTGACCGCTTAAACCACTACGCCATCTGTGCAAGTACTTCCATTATTAAACTACAATTTGTGGATCACACAAAGTGTTGTTCCATGCAGGGATCGAACCCACAACACTTAGCACAGTAGAAAACGGTGACCGCTTAAACCACTACGCCATCCGTGCAGTTGATTTGTATGATACCTATGCCTAAAAACCAATTGATATATTTTTTGTCTATCTATTTGTACCGGGTAAACTTCAAAACGGCTGGACCGATTTTGTTAATATTTTACTACTAGGTAGCTGTCTATATAACGAGTAACTTAGGTTATATTTCCTCTCAGAAAAGCCCTTTAAAATTTTTACCGGTCCGGGAATCGAACCTTCAACACTAAGGTAGCGTTTTTCAAATTCCACACGAACGAAGTCGCGGGTATCAACTAGTTAATAATAAAATAATATATTGATTACGAAAAATAATACATAGTTACAATAAGCGTAGTATGTTACAATAAAAAACTTAAAATATATTTTTGTATTATATTTTGAGTAATTACATTGCATATTTAAAGGCTATTGCTATTTATACGTATTTTATTTTGGAAACTGGTCGGATGACCGGTAAACACCAAATTGAAGAAGCCCTGAAACAAGTAAAGCATTATCAAACATTGACACATTGAAACATTCAAAAAGAATAAGATGGCTTCTTGTCAAATTTTCCCGCCAAGTATATTTTTGTTACTGACTTTAAGAAATTCAAGTTCTATGGTATAAAAATTTGATGCACGTCACCACACGTGAACCGGCATATTCGAAAATTCGCCATTTCGAAATACTGGAGTTGTTAGGTTTCATAGAAACAGTTCCTGCTTAATGTTCCTGTCATGCTAGCCAAAAATCTGATGATCCGGTAACACTCCGCTGTCTCCTTCGCAAGCATAACTTGTACCATCCGACCGAACGATCCTCGATATCTCGAGAATCAGGACTCCAACCCAACTCTCGCGCCTCCTTGCGCTACTGATACAGAGCCACAAGGCCTCTCGCCTCCAGGTCCCATGGTAGAGTTGGGCCAGGAGACTCACCACCTTAAAAAAAATCATGGGGTACCCCCTTATGACCCTAATAGTTAGCACTTGCTGCGGTCGCCAAATTAAAGCGACGTTGCTGACCTTCTGGCCTCCACCCATACTGGAGCAGGAGTCATCGGGTCCCCACTTGTTGGGCAGCAGTCGCGCCAATGCAAGTGCAGCTCCAACCGACTTAGGGACCAGACCTCGGTAATAATGTCCGAAGTCCCACCGGCCGTCGAATTCAATGCCAGATACCTCATCGTCATCAACTTAATCATCCTCATCAACTTAATTTAACCTGTAATTAAAAATAAAATTTTGTAAGTGTTATGCAATATGTCAACACTGTCTGTTTCACAAAAACATGTCTGTCAATGTCAAGGTCAACTGTCAAAAGTTTTTATTTACGAAATAAAATATTAGTTTGGATGTACCTAACTTATTTATTTTCTTCAGGTTCATCAAAAGTAGAAAAAGGGTATACTAAAAATTATACTCATTAAAAAAGTACACAATTATACAAATTCACCTATAAAAGTAAATAGATTTTTACTTGTTCTAGTGGACATTATTGTTAGGAACTAAAAATGAAAAAGTATTAGATTAAAATTGCAGTGATACTGTAGCGCCAACAATAAGAGTGTCTTTGTCTGATGTAAATTCTATAAAAACGGTTACAAAAGATGGAAGAATTATCGATGTGTAGAATTTGTTTATCAACAAATAAGAGAATGAAAAATCTTGTGGGTACATACCTTCAAAAGATGTACGAAGACCTAACTACGATGCTTGTAAGCTTTTATAGACTTTTTTCGACAACAAACAAAAAAAAAACAACAAATCACCCTTTGCACTGTTGTCCTGTGTAGTTTGCTCTCTTAGTTGGCTCTTACGACGCCCACGGGATGAACCGGGGTGCCGACACTCCATATTTTTATCCGTCGCTACAGGGGTACAAAATATTTATTATCTATTTAAAAAACAAGAACACTATTCTTGCCGTATCAGTGTTTATGGCTATTGAACCTTTCCTAAGCCTTTAATAGTCCACTGTCCTTTGTTAAGCCTCTCCTTAGGTTTGGGCCTACTATACCACACTGACCAGACAGGATAATATAGAGTTTGTTTCATATTGCCTTCTATTTGCAGTGATGTGGTCCTTCATAGTTTACTCCCTTAGTTGACTCTTACTTATGACACCCATGGGATAAATAGGAGCTTTGACACTCCATATTCTTAATCCATCACCATTCTGATAACCTTTTTCAGTATATACTTTAATTGATACATCATCAGCAGCCTATAATAGTGCACTGCTGGACATAGGCCTCTCCTTAGAAATAATGTTTTTCCTTACTGTGCCATGCTAGCGAGACGGGTTGGTATAGGGTTTGTGTCAAGTTTTCCTTCTTTTTGCAGTGCTGTTGTCGGATAGTGGTTTTCTCCCTTAGTCGGCTCTCACGACACCCACGGGTTGAATGGATATAGGATGATTAATACATAACCTTTGTATTGTACTATTATTACAGAGATTAGATTAGATCATACTAGCATATTAATTTAACTATGAAATTTGGCAGTTTGTAACAAAAGACAACAGACCAATAATGGTGTGCTCTATCTGCTGTGCAAGGCTCAAGAATAGCCACCAGTTGAAGATGAGGTGCCTTCAGAGCGAGAAGCTCTTCACCCAATTACTGGCCTACAATGTGGTGAGTACTTAATAGAAAATGAATAAAAAGGAACGGTTTAAAAGGAACATTCCTTATGAATGTGAAAATCTAACCAATAGTTAGGGTGAGTCCAAATAATTGTTTGATAATGTAAAATGATGCCCAGATACAGAAGAAATGATCTTCTGTATCTGGGTATCGTTTATATAAAATATTTATGTACACATTTAGTAATACATAAGAATGTTTATCAGGTGTCTGGTTTCTATAGTGCTTGTAGCTCTGGTCTAGTTTGAGATAAGATGATCATGTGTCATATTACCATCACCATCTTAATCATCACATAAACAGCCTTTAATAGTACAGCATCAGTGTGGTGACGGATTAAGAAAACAAATTGTCACCACCCCAATTCATCCCGTGGGTGTCGTAAGAGCTGACTAAGGGAGCAAACTAAGCAGGACAACAGCACTGCAAAGAGAAAGAAAACTTGAACCAAACCCTATACCAACCCGTCTGGCCAGCGTGGTATAGTAGGCCAAAACCTTTCTAAGGAGAGGCCTATGTCCAGCAGTGGACTAGTATAGGCTGTTGATGTGATGATGATGATGTAATAGTACATTGCTGGAAATGGAATGTCAATGTGATATAGTAGGCCAAAACCTCCTTTCTAAGGAGAGGCCTATGTCTAGCAGTGTGTTATATATGTTAAATTAATTAATAAAGTATTGTTATTATTAAACTATATACAAGTTTTTATAGAAACTGCCATTTTAATGTTTCATGAAGGGAAATTGATTAGACTTGACTCTACCGTACATTAAATTCTTCTTTTAACTTGATTGCAGACAGTACCAGACATACAAGAAGACACAATCAGCACAGACAGACTTCAAATAACTCCTGTTATACATCTTAGTATAGGAAATGTCCAGAACAGTGTACTGTGTTCTGCAGAGAAAGAAATCAAGAAGGAGGTGCCAGAAGTAGAAGTAATAGTGAAGAAGGAGGTTTCTGAGGAACCCCAAGGTATTAGACATCTTTTAAACAGATTGAGTGTTGGTGACTGCAGACTGTGTTGCGCTGAGTGGTTTTTGTTCAATCCCTCCCCACATGGCACAACATTGTGTTATCCACAAATTTTTGGTCTTAGTCTGTATGTTCTTTTAGTTCGTTTCATGTATTTTTCTAAAATCCCTTGCAGCATAGGATATTCCTGGTGCAGGAGTTGTCTTTTTAAAAAGGGGAAAAAGGGGGTGATCTTACATGAAATAAACTCTTTAATTTAATTAATAACTAGTTTTTGACCGCGGTTCCCCCTTTACACCATATCATTCACCTAAATCAATTCAGCGGTTATTGATTATCCAAACGAACCTGTATCCCCTATTCACCCCTTAAAGGATGATTTCTGGGATAAAAACTACCCTATGCCCTTTCCCAGGACTCGGGCCATCTCTGAACTAAACTTCATCTAATTACAGCGGTTTAAGCATGAACAGGTAACAGACGGACAGACAGACACACTTTAGCATTTATAATCCCAGTATGGATTTTAAATACATACTAAATACAAACACTCGATGTACACTCAATATATTTAAAATTCCAACTATAGTTGTCAACCCTCTTTCCTAATAGCAGGCAAGCAAAAGAAGCGGTAACTTTTTATTGTTAGTATCACTAATATACTATTTTACAAAACTATTTCTAGATTGCGTGGATGAGCCTTTTCAAGAGTATTATATAACACTAGAAGACAACATGGTACCGATGGATTCAAACGATTTAACTACATTAAATACAGGTAAGATATTAAATATAAAACCCCACTTATTAGAAAGTGTTGTTTTTTTTTGATCTCTTGACAAATTTGAGAATCATCATCAACAGCCTTTACTAGTCCACTGCTGGACATAGGCCTCTTCTTAGTAAGGAGTTTTTGGCCTACTATACTACGATTGCCAGATGGGTTGGTATAGGGTTTGCCTTTTTTTTTTTTTTTTTTTTTTTCCGTGCGGCAATCCCCTCGGATACCACCTGTCGGTGGCATGTCGGACTCGAACCGACTAAAACCGCACGCCTTCGCCGGGTACTAATAGCCGGGGAACCAGGTATACCCTAGAAAGGAAGGCCCTGGTGCCCCGACATACCTCGGGTCATCTACAGTCGAGTAGACGACCCCCGCCCCGTGTGGGAACCCCATTTTCCCGCTATTCGACACTCCTGGGATAAATAGGGGTGGTGACACCCCCTGAATATATTTGATTATTACTAGAATACAATTAAAATTTATCACATTACTTATAGAATTATTTTATTAAAAATAAGTCATTCTTAGATAATTTTACCTATTGTATGCAAAGTTATAACGCTATCATAACTTGATTTGACCTAAGCATTTGATTGTGATCACAAAATTTAGCGAATACAAGGTGTACCCCAGGGACTAGTAATGGGCCTAATCTTTTTGTGTTTGCTTTCATGAGCAACCTTCCCATTTTGTAATTAGGGTTGGAAATGAAATAACATTTTTTAAATTAACGTAGATAATACCATCCCACTAGGCTTACGAGGACTTAAAATTAATAGAAATAGTTGATGCCACACCATTTTATTTAAGAAAAAAAATTTTTGTTCACCAGAACTTGAAAAATCCAGACTAGCCGTGCAGAGACTAGACTGTGAGGAATCTCCATGTACCCTAGATATATCAGAAGATAATTCTAAAAGGAATAATAGTATTACTAATAAGGACATTAAAAATAAAATTGACAGATACAAAAACATTAAAAAGAAAAAGACTGGTGTATCGAAATATAATAAACACACTGGTGAAAAAAAACACGACTGTGATATATGTTATAAATTTTTCTCATCCGAAAAGAACTTACAGCGACACCTTCGAACGCACATTAGTAATAGAAAATACAAATGTAAAATATGTAATAAAAAATTTACTTGCAATGATCATTTGCATAGACACATTCGGGTGCACACTGGTGAAAAACCTTACGAATGTGAGACATGTAAAAAAAAATACAGTACAAAGAGTACTTTGAATAAACACATTTTGATACACACCAAAAATACCATTTCAAATAATAAATTTGATACTGTTTCAAAAGTATTTACTTGTGATATATGTAAGAAAGAATTTACTGGGATGTGTCAAATTAAAATTCATATGCGCACACACACTGGTGAGAAACCGTACAAGTGCAACATGTGTAAAAAAGCTTTTAGTCAAAAAAGTACTTTGAATAAACATGTGCCTATTCATAGTGATGAGAAACCTTTTCAGTGTGATAAGTGCGATAAAGGGTTTAAACGCAAGAGTCATTTAGACACACACATTCGAACGCACAGTGGTGATAGGCCTTACAAGTGTGATATGTGTAAAAAAGATTTTTCACAAAAAGGTCATTTGACTGGACACATACGTGTGCACACTGGTGAGAAACCATTTTCTTGTGACTTTTGTGATTATAGCTTTAGTCATAAGAACTGTTTGAATAGACATATGACGCGTGCGCATGATGTTGAGAGAAGAAATCGTTGATTTACCTACTAATTGCGCCAAAAAAAAGATGATGTTTTCAGTGTATATATGTGTTTATATTTCTTTACCACACTCTGTAGATGAAACCTCTTGATGGATTTTGGTGTTTAAGGTGTCGTTAGAAAGACACTGGGTGCATAACTTTTTTTTGTATATTTTCTGCATGGCTGACTGACTGGCCCGTTGGTCTAGTGGTTGGTGACCCTGACTGACTCCACAGGTCGTGGGTTCGATTCCCAAACAGGACAAATAATTCTATGATGAGCACGGTTATTTCTTCTGTGTCTGAGTGTAATTTATCTATAATACATATGTATGTAGTTAGAAATATATAAGTATGTTTATCAGTAGTCTGGTTACCATACTACAGGTCCTGCCAAGTTTGGGATAAGGCAGCCGTGTGTGAGATGTGTAAAAATATTAAAAAAATATATATATTATTATATGTTAAGTTAACACTTTCGCGCGTTTTTTAATTAATTAGCTTGTTTACATGTGATGTTAATGTTACCTTACTGTTGTTATATTATTTAATCAGGGAATTAAGTATTAAAAACTAACAAAAATGTTGAGAGAGCTCAAATATAGTTTGTGGTGTTTGATTCAGGTATTTGATTTAAAGGTAAAATCATGTATATGTTACCGCTAATGGGCGTAAATCAGTTAAAGTGTAGATATACTTATTAATCTGCAGATTATTTGGGCCTTAATTCTGCAATTTAATACTGTATCAATAGACTGTCGATGGAATGTCGTCGGAATAGTTTTGCACTTTTCCTATTCTACTAACTTTGTAAGACCAATGGCCTTGCAATGACTTGTCACTGATACAAATGTCGTCGATGTCTTTGCAACAGTTTTGTAAACGGTACATTTAAAAAAATGTTATATTTAATTTTCCAGGTATGGCAATGTTGTTGATATCACCATTGATGACCTGTATTAATATATCGACAGTGTGTTGACACTGTGATTTCATGTTAGTAGAATACTGATATTTTGACCGATGTCAATGGAGTCTCAGTGGCATCTCAATAGCGTGTCAATGGAATGATAGTGGCTTTGCGTTAACATAAAATAGCAGAATTGAGACCCTGATTGAGTACGTTGAGGTGGAAAAGGCTTACATGATGTGTACCATCTGGCGGACAGCACTAAAGTCCATTCTTATTAAGAATATAGTGACGCATCAATCAAGTCCCACACCTTGACCAATCAGGTTCCAAGAATTTATTGTTTCGTACGAAAGCTTTGAACCTGATTGGTCAAGGAGCGGGACTTGATCCATACGTCACTATTTTCTTAACGCGAATGGAATCAAATCAAATGGCGCGCGGTTACCAGCTTTCTGTTACATCACTTCACTGAATCTATCCCATAGATTACAGCATAGCGAGAGGAAATTCCTAATAACGCGAATTGTCATCTCTAGGTATCGTCTTAATCATTTTATAAAATTTATTACGATGGTGTGAGGTTCTTGGCTGAGTGGTAACCGTGTAGGTTAACACATATTATTAAAGTTAAGCAATCCTGGAGAGGTCAGTCTGTGGATGGGTAACCATTCGACCCCTCCGAGCCTTGGAGAGCACGTTGAGCCGTTGGTCTCGGTTGCCATACGAACATCTGTGGCCATCGTTACGAGTAGTTGAAGCCCTAAAAAGACCGACAAGTCTTTCTACAGAACGTCAATTATTTTTTTTTAATTTGTTCATGGCACATGTAAAAACAGTAACAGTGAAGAAAACCACAGGTGGTTTATGTATCACTGCCATCACTCGCTTTGTATGTAGTACATTGCAGATGATTATTATTATTATAATTTTTCCTTTTATACATAATTTTATACATATACAAAACTAGCTGACCCGCGCAACTTCGTCTGCGTCTCTCAATAGTAATAAATTTTCTCCGTTTTTGAAACATTCTTCATTGGTGCTCCGCTCCTATTGGTCTTAGCGTGATGGTATATAGCCTATAGCCTTCCTCGATAAATGGGCTATGTAACACTGAAAGAATTTTTTAAATCGGACCAGTAGTTCCTGAGATTAGCGCGTTCAAACAAACAAACAAACAAACAAACAAACTCTTCAGCTTTATAATATTAGTATAGATAATTTTATACTTTTATAGGCCTATGTCCAGCAGTGGACTAGTAAAGGCTGTTGATGATGATGATGATGATGATGATACATATACATATATATGTATACACACATACACACACACATACATATATATACATACATACATACACATACACACACATATACGTGTATATGCAGTTTGTAATAGTTTCACCTCATTCCTCTGTAAGGTAAACTTTTTTGAGAAACGTTTTACATTTCCGCGGATTCTCCGAGAGTTTATCCACCATGTTATATCGCCTAGTACTTGGGTTGTAAAGGTCTGATGGCAGGCGCTCCACGTGAAATATCGAAGTTCAGCCGTGTCGTATTGGACTTAAAGCCGACCCCCAAACAAATTTGAGAAAAACGCTTGGAGGATGAGGTTATGTAACACACATAAAGTCAAAGATACTTTTTAACCGATTTAAAAAAAAGGGAGTTCTCAAATCGTTTCTAACTGTCATTTGTGAATCTTATTTTTTATTAGAGAGAGAGAGAGAGATTTTTTATACTTCCCGTTTGGTTCCAATGATCATCAACAACAACCTTTAATAGTCCACTGCTGGACATAGGCCTCTCTTTAGTAAAGAGGTTTTGGCCTACTATACTACGCTGGCCAGACTGGTTGGTATAAGGTTTGTTTCAAGTTTTCCTTCTCTTAGCAGTGCTGTTGTCCTGCGTAGTTTTCTCCCTTAGTCGGCTCTTACGACACCCACGGGATGAATAGGGGTGGTGACACTCCGTATTCTTTATCTGTCACCGCACCGAAAACGGTTCCAATGATATACGAAGAAAATAACGCCACTTCGTAGAGTGGAAAGTTAAGGAATGAAAAAACAAGTTTATTATAATACGTTATGATTTAGACGCATGAAATCATTTCGTCAATCAAAATGTAGTCATTTTGTTTTTGCTTATTTGTTACTGTAAACTTATTATTTAGTTAAATAAATATATTTGCAAAATAAATACGTTTTTTATTAGCTATACATAGCGTATCTGTGATAAGTACATACCTACTTTTTTTAAAGACAACTCCCGCATTAGGAATATATCCTGTGTCGCGGGGGACTGTACAAACATACATGACACAATGAATACCCAGACTGAGAAAAACAATTTGTGGAAGTGTCGTTCCAGCGAACCCACTACACTGCGTAATAGAAAGCGGCGTGGCGACCGCTTAAACCACTACGCCATCTGTGCAAGTACTTCCATTATTAAACTACAATTTGTGGATCACACAAAGTGTTGTTCCATGCAGGGATCGAACCCACAACACTTAGCACAGTAGAAAACGGTGACCGCTTAAACCACTACGCCATCCTTGCAGTTGATTTGTATGATACCTATGCCTAAAAACCAATTGAAATATTTTTTGTCTATCTGTTTGTACCGGGTAAACTTCAAAACGGCTGGACCGATTTTGTTAATATTTTACTACCAGGTAGTTGACCGGTCCGGGAATCGAACCTACAACACTAAGGTAGCGTTTTCAAATTCCACGCGAACGAAGTCGCGGGTATCAACTAGTTAATAATAAAATAATATATTTATTACGAAAAATAAGGTCATGCGGGGCAAGGGCGCCATATTTTTTGCATAGATGAATTCAACGCAAAATATTTTTCTTTTAAGCTGACTTTTAAGTGTATATATTTTAAATTGTCATTATTTGGTATGTTGTAGCTGCAAGAAAAGACGATTCAATGTAATCTATCAACATTTTTATGATATTTTATAAGAAATTGGAAAACATTTATATAGGCGCACTTGCCTGGAAAGTGGGGCAAAATCATATCTTACCAGAAAAACAGATAATATACTCAATAGAACATAAACAACTAAACGTATTACTCTGGGTTTCTTTTTAATTTATTAGTACTATAGGTTGCTGCAGCTTTCTTAACAAATTTGGGGTAAGCGCGCCATAGACTTTAAATCAGGGGATCTAAACCTTTAATGCTGTTTTTTATATAAAGTAAATACTAAACTTTACAGGACAGCTACCGTAAAGTTCACAACCAGATAAGTCCATACTCATCTAGCGTGGACTTTACGGCAGCTGTCCAACTGCATCTTTTTGTCGAAAGATCTGTGGGCAAGCTAGTGTCAGAGTTGTTCAGGCTCAGTCTGAAGGTCTCTGACATGGCTTAATGACTGATGTTGAATAATAAAAGCCAGATCAATGATTTTCCGGCCACCCATCCAAAGACTCATCGCGAACTAGCCTGACCTCGATTATTGCTGTCGATTAACAAGCTTAGGTCTACCTAAGCGCGCATAAAGTAACGAACAAAGGAAATTACAAGTACTATTTATTAACTGTTAGGACTAACTTTAAACGACTTTTATACCGGGTGTCCAAACAAATGTCCTATTTAATGTCACTCAAAGAATTCACTAAAATTTTTTTTGAAAATACCTATCCGTATTAAGTTATGACTATTACTTTTAATAGAATTAACAACTTATTCGTGTAACAATAGAAGATTTTAAACGAAAATCAGTACTTTTAAATGTTATATGAATTGAATAAAAGTTGACAACTTCTGCTTTGGGGGAAGTGCGCCATACTACAAAAAAGTTAGGCGCGCTTGCCTCACTTGATTATTTTGAGGGTAAGATTTTAAATTCTTTATTAAAAAAATATTTCCTTATCTAGGACTAAAATACAGACATAGATTTAAAGAAAAACTATTAAATTCTGTACTTAAATCATTGGTTTGCCGCAGCACGTAAAATATTTTAGATTTAAGGGGATTAATTAACAGGTGTTCATCTCTGGTAACAGGTTTAAATTACACTAAAACTAAAATGGTGGATACATCAAGTTATGATGAACAGAGACTTCTGTGATCTAAAGTGGAACTATGTTTTTGTTTGTTGCATTAATGTAAGATGTCGTAAGTTGTCTAATATCAGTGGTTTTTGATATTTTTAGGGAAGGTGCGCTTACCCCGTCGTCGCACTTGCCCCGCCTGACCTTAATACATAGTTACAATAAGCGTAGTATGTTACAATAAAAAACTTAAAATATATTTTTGTATTATATTTTGAGTAATTACATTGCATATTTAAAGGCTATTGCTATTTATACGTATTTTATTTTGGAAACTCGTCGGATGACCGGTAAACACCAAATTGAAGAAGCCCTGAAACAAGTAAAGCATTATCAAACATTGACACATTGAAACATTCAAAAAGAATAAGATGGCGACCGCCTTCTTGTCAAATTTTCCCGCCAAGTATTTTTTTATGACCATAGAGTTCTGTTACTGACTTTAAGAAATTCAAGTTCTATGGTATAAAATTATTACTAACGAGCGTCATTAACGCGATTAATAAGTATTACATAAATTTTGAATTGCTTGACGTATATAGACCTAGATTTGGTGGTGTTAATCCCCGTAAATTACCACCCGTTAGTAATAATTGTATTATCTATCAGCATCTATCAAGTATATATTTCATTAAGTGTTGCTAACATTTTTCCAGATGAATAAAGTGTTTTAATAGGTGCATTGGTATATTTTATGAAAAATTTAAAGGTATATTATTATTTATTTTAAATATCGTTATTTTCTAAATTCTGGCATATGACATCATGTATTTCGATACCTACTTAATTATACAATTCTGCTATGAGACATGCCGACGTCTCTCCAAGTACTGAAGTATTGTTTGAAGACAGCTGGTTCCGTTCCTTGTGGGACTCTGGCAATATGGACCTGAATATAAAAAAAATATATTTATTTGCCTTGATAACTTAATTTAATTGTAATTTAGTAAATTATTATTAGCAAACTGAGGGTAGTTCAAAAAAGCCTATTATTTTAGTATTGAATGAAATATAATTGTATTTCTATTATTTTCTTTTTTCTTTTTACTAATTCAAAGACAACTCCCGCACTAGGAATAAATCCTGTGTCGCAGGGGACTACAAACATACATGAAACGGAAACAAAGAACATCTAGACTCAGAACAACAATTTGTGGATCACACAAAGTGTCGTCCCATGTGGGGATCGGACCCACAACAGTCAGCGTAGTAGTAAGCGCCGTGGCGACCGCTTAAACCACTACGCTATCGCTATATTTGTAATATTATAGTATTATCATAGGATTTGCGATCCAGCGAGCAAACCATCATTTCTTCTTTCCAAACATCTCATCTGGTAATCATAAACAAAGACTCTTGGTTTGTTTGCCCTTTCTTCTCATTGGTTGTAAATCGGCACAGTATACATACTTATGAATTTTCGACAGGTGTTTATTATTTATTTTGCTAAATATTTGATAAATTAGATTATTGCTATTGTGTGTGTTGACCTAGGACTTTAGAGTCTAGAGAGAATAAAAAAACAAAAATTTCACTTTGAAACTATGTCCTTTTGTACTAGAGGCTAAAATCTACAAGTCCAGTTCATGGTCATTATTTGTACTCACCCATGAAGGATAGTTCTTCGCACTTAAATATTGCTGAGCCTTTGTCATGGCTTCGTTCTTTTCCTGAAATCGTACAATCAAAATTAATGTACAATTCTGTTTTAACCGAATTTAAAAAGACAAAGACCCTTATTGCAAAAACTGTGTTACGTATATAGATGTTTTATCGTAGGTAAAATGTCATCAGTTACCCAATCCGGCATTGCAATTGTAAAGTACACTACAAAAATGGCAGATTTGAATAAATTTAACACGCATTCAAATTATTTTGTGAAAAAAAAACTCTTGTAAAAGACTACATTTTAATTAAATACTTTTTTAACATATTTAAATCCAATTTCTTTATTTGTAGCGGACACATATTAAATCTGTTATGTATGTAAAAGCAGGAGGTTCTGGAAAATTTCTGGAAAATTCTATGTTATTTAGGAAATTGTATGTTGTATGTTTCTATTCAAAGGCCAAGAACAAATAATAATACAAGAGCAAATAAATAAATACCAGAAGAACCAAGAACAAATAAATACCACCCCTATGTGTGTAAAATAAAGATTACAGTTTATTATAATTTCTCAAGATATAAGCATAAATCAGGACCTAGTATTTTACGAAATTAAAAATATTCTCTTACTCTTTCAGTCGACTGCTTGCCAACCCACACGTAAATGCTCCCGCTGACCGTGTCCAAAATGTAACTTTCCTGTAACCAAACCACTAACATTGTAATAGAGGCTCAAGGCTGTTCAAATAACGAAAACGTGTTTTGAAAACAATCGCTTAAGACCCGTGAAATCTGGGCCTCAATTCTGCTATTTTATGTTCACGCCAAGCCACTGTCATACCACTGACACGCTATTGAGATGCCATCGAGTGGCCATTGGCATCGCTATAAATATCGGTAGTCTACACTAACTCAGTGTCTTTGCAGTGGCGATGGAATGGCAGTGGCTCATCAGTGGTGATATCAAAGAGATTGCCATATTTGGAAAATAAATAAATCATTTCCTTATAACTTGAAAATGTATTAGGTTCTTTTAATTTTGGTCCATAAAGTCGTTATGGATTTACCATATTTATTGATACAAATGTATAAACTACAACGACATAATACACCGTAATTAATAGAATTATCGTTGCTGTTTTTGTTGTTGTTTAGTTAGTGTAGACTACCGATATATATACCGATGCCAATGGCCACTCGATGGCATCTCAATGGCGTGTCAGTGGTATGACAGTGGCTTGGCGTGAACATAAAATAGCAGAATTGAGGCCCAGGACGTGTGCAGCCCTGACCTGTTAGTGACCAGCCGGGTCACTAACTTTGCCTGCGAATGCGCCATGTACTTGCATCTTTATACCTAAAGTGTGGAGATAACCTAGCCTGCTAAAGCTGAGAATTCAAACTACAATTACAAGTAACATTCACAACAAAGTAAAATACTTCTTCCTACACAATTTTCCTACACGACCGTGTGGTGACGGATTAAGAATACGGAATGTCACCACCCCTATTCATCCCGTGGGTGTCGAAAGAGGCGACTAAGGGAACAAACTACGCAGGACAACAGCACTGCAAAGAGAAGGAATACTTGATTCAAACCTTATACCAATCCGTCTGGCCAGCGTGGTATAGTAGGCCAAAACCTCCTTTCTAAGGACAGGCCTATGTCCAGCAGTGGACTATTATATGCTGTTGTTGATGATGATGATGATGACACAATTTTAGACTCAGAATGATAGTCTGAATACACTACGAGTATTTCAGTATTCGTTACGATGTCCCTTACACCCGATATATTATATGTTACAAGACACAAACTTAGAAGTTATGTAAAACAAGTATTTTGTAATAGTTACATTATCGCATTAGGATATAATTGGGATTCTCGATAGCATATGGACAGAGAGCAGGAACATTTTACGTCTGTCGTCTACCCGACACAAAGAGAAGGTGGCCAGCCTGGCGGAGCCCAGCCAAACGTTATAACTTGATTGCGCGATGCAATTTCAGAAATGACTACGTAGTTCAAATGTTCTTCGCTAGATGTCGCTGTCTGTTTATGTAAGTAGATGTCGTTTGAGTTTTCAAGGAAGCCTGTTATAGTTTTGCAGTTTGATTAACTAGTACTAAATACACAAAGTACGGTTTTTGGATACGTCTTTTTAATTATACCAGCCATCCTGACCGATAGCTCATTTTTCATTTGACATTGGCTGAAATTGGAATCTTTCGGAGATAACATTCTGGGAAATATACATTCTGGGAAATGGACATTTCGGGAACACGACATTCTGGGAAATGAACATTCTGGGAAATGGACATTCTGGGACATGGAGTTTTTGCAACCGTTGGACATTTTGGGAATTGAACATTCTGAACCTAAACGTTTTTGAAGAAGTCTTACCTGAGGTTTGAGTTGTTCCTGTCTATAAGGCTTAGCCAAAGGAGTAACTTGCAGTTTCCCGCTGTTATCCGACACTTCAGACAGAATTACTGACTGTTCTTCACTCCTCTCGAATGCCTGCAATTTTAATGTATCTATATATTTATATTTATTAAAATTTAGAAATAAATAAATAAAAGTTAAATTTAAAATTTGTATTTTTTTTATTTCTCTATTTTCTGTATACCTATCACCAGTTCAAAATGAATGCATCCAAAGGTTACCTGGAAGAAATTGCACTAAGCCATAAGGCCGCCCTTTGTACGTTACATCTGTTGTTAATTACTTTATAATGTCTGTAAAACCCTGGTGGACAAAACAAGTATTTATCTATCTATCTTTTTAAATTTATTTCTGGGTGTCGTAAGAGCCGACTAAGGAAGTAACTACGCAGGACAACAGCACTGCAATGAGAAGGAAAACTTAAAACAAACCCTATACCAACCCGTCTGGCCAGCGTGGCCAAAACCTCCTTTCTAAGTAGAGGCCTATGTCCAGAGGTGGACTGTTAAGGGCAGTTGATGATGATGATATAGAAAGAAATTTCTTTGAATGAAGTTGACTTGAAGGAAATTTTAATTACTATACACGATGATACTGTTGGACATAGGCCTCTCCTTTCTATGGAGAGGCTTATGTCCAACAGTGGACTATTAAAGGCTGTTGATGTAATGATGTGACACGATGTTACCCGACTCCAGACAATAAAAAACCTACACTTACAACCCATGTCACTAGTATTTGTTAAAAGAAAATATTTTAAAAGAACTCTGTACGGAACTAGAATATTCCACAAGGTATACCTGGTCATCGCCCCCAGCGCTGTCTTCGGGCACTATGTCCTTGCTGCCAGATCCTAAAGCTGTGAAGAATTTCTGGACATCCACTTCGCTGGAGTACTGGTCTGCGAACATTAATTATTACCTTTCAACGTATATAAATAATATAAAAGTTAGTAGGCATCTAAAAGCCGTAGATTGCTCGGGGTCCGTCAGGGTACTAGGGATTTCATTACATGTACCGGCTACTGGTACCTAAGACGGAGTGCGGATTTTATTCAGTTCGAGTCCAACATAACTACCCCATTGTCCGGAAAGTGGTGTCCGAGGGGATGTCCGCACGGAAAATAAGGGAGTATTTCTGTTCAATCAAATTGCTAATTTTAGGAAACAATTGATAGAGGCCTATGTTCAGCAGTGCTTGTCATTCGACTAAGATGATGGTGATTTGGGGATTGGTCAATGACCACTCTCGGACAACGCCTCAATTCCGGCAAATAAAAATTTAACTTACCAATGATTTCAACTTTTCCTCTTCCGCTATGATCTTGATCCCTGACCTGGTTGGCAAAAGAGATAGCCTTTAGACGCTCAACGTTCTTCGCTTTGTCACCAACAAACACGTAGATGGTCTGGTCCAAATCTAGGATGAAGACGTCGCCTTTGTTCATTGAGGAGATCAGCGGATCCACCTGAAATAAATACATTCTTGGAGACATTAGGTAGAACTGTAGATTAACCAAAAACAAATTGGTAAATGTTCAGCAATGAGAATAAATGTAAAAATAATATTAATAATAATAATGTTCTTCCACATTGACACAACGCCATCTAGTCCCAAACTAAGCAGAGCTTGTACTATGGCTACTAGACAACTGATATAACTATATATATGTTTTTTTTTGTAAATACATACATATTTTACATAGAAACACCCAGACCAAATCAAACATTAAATGTTCATGCACACAAAATGTTTGACTTGAGCGGGCATTTAACCCGCGACCTTTGAAATAGCAGTCCGTTACGCAAACCACTACGCCATCCGGTCGTCCAGATAATGACGTAACAGGTAGCTTGTCAGGGCCGCCAAAGAATTCAATGGCGTTCCTTGTTCCCTTGATCATGGCCAAGCAGTGGAACACCAGAAACCAGTTCTAGTTTCTTATAAATACACACGGCCGTCTGATTCTAAACTATGCAAAGCCTGTGCATGTCAACCAGACCGCTGATAAACATACTTATATATTTCTAAATACATACATATTATGGATAAATTACACCCAGACATAGAACAAATAATAGTGCCTATCACACAATATTTGTTCTAATCGAACCCATGACTTCTGCTTTTGCAGTCAGGTCCACTAACCACTAGACGAGCAGGTCCGTCAATAAGGATAGTTTTCAGTCAGTAATAGTCCAAAAGACCTTTTCTCTCCCCCAAAGGGTGGCAGATTTCCATGAGCCTATTCCACAACGTCAAAAAAAAAACAGCAGCTCAAAAATTACTGCTCTATCCCGTTCACATCAACAGCCTTTAACAGTCCACTGCTGGACATAAGCCTCTCCTTAGAAAGAAGGTTTTGGCCTACTATACCACGCTGGCCAGACAGGTTGTTTTAGCGTTTGTGCCAAGTTTCCTTCTCTCTGCAGTGCTGTTGTTCTGCGTACTTTTTTCCCTTGGTCGACTCTTACGAGACCCACGTGATGAATAGGGGTGGTGACACTGTATTCTTAATCCGTCACCACACGGACCTATCCCGTTCAAAAATGACTAATTTCCTTTTTTAGCAGTTTATAAGTTTTATACTGTCTCTGGTAATATCTGAGGTTCGCTAATCTATACACATATGACATAGAAAGCTACCACAGACCTGTCTGACTCTCACGTTCTTCTTGCCCTTGACCTGGAAGAGACGTTTCTGGGCTCCTGCGTTTGTCACGACGTGGGTGAAGCCAGTGGCGTGTCCACCGTTCAGATACTGGATGGCTGTGGAAGAAGAAATATTGAAGTTTAATAAAGACTATAGTTTATCTGGTGGTAAACTTCGTCCATATATTGTCTATCCGTGTGGTGGCAGATTAAGAATACGGAGTGTCACCACCCCTATTGATCTCGAGGGTGTCGAAAGAGCCGACTAAGGGAGCAAACAACAAAGGACAACAGCCAGACTACAACAACAGACTATTAGAGGCTGTTGATGATGATGTTGATGACAGATTCTCTGGTATATCTAATTGCCAAGCATAACTGGAATTGTCCTTGTATAGACTTGCGTAGATACCATGACATGTCTGTCAACTTTACATAATAAACGCCGGCAGCTTTATGTAAATGTCGGTTTTCGCGGTAAATGTAGGTTATGGCTTTCCACATTCACACAACGCCATCTAGTCCCAAACTAAGCAGAGTTTGTACTATGGGTACTAGACAACAGATATAAATACTTTTTGTAAATACATACTTATTATACATAGGAACACCCACACCAAATCAAACATTAAATGTTCATACACACAAATTTTTCACTAGAACGGAAATCGAACCCGCGACCTTTGGAATAGCAGTCCGTTATACAAGCCACTACGCCATTCGGTCGTCGAATAGAAAGTGTGTATATACTTACTTGAAGGGAAGTAATTCAAAAACTGCTGACTCTCGTATCCTAATGTCTCTCTATGCTGCACAGCGGCGCCGTTGAATTTATCATCCAGACCCACAGTCAAGATGGCGGCCGCCCCGGACTCGTCCTGAGTCGATTCACTGCCGATCCAGTAGTGAATGTCCCAGGACAAATTGTTCTTTTTGTCTGCTGTTGTCTATGGTGTAAAAATTTATGGATAAGTCTGGTAACCGACTTCAATAAAAACATTTGTGAAAAAAAACTAATAAATACTTAACGTATTAAAACCGTCATAAAATTGTAAAGAATTATAAAACTATGTTTACTACTTTTAAGCATACCTACATACATATTGATCTAATAAATATAAATTTGTAAAAATAATTTTACAAATTGGTTTTTTCAATTATGTTTCGTTGAAAGCAGAGAAACAAACAATATTTATTGAGATTACAAATAAACAAAAAAAATGCATTATTTTGTCTTTAAATTTCTTGTTTCAATAGTCAAATTAATTGAGCTTCGTACACTAGAAAAAGAAAGAACGAGAAACTATGGTCTGTCGGTTCTACATGGAATATTTAAAAAAAGACTATAGTTTTTGATGTTGTTTTACTGCAATCCGTAAGGTGGGTAATTTCTTGAAAAAGAACAGAAATATGAAACAGAAAGCGTGGGAAATCTTGACCAATAAATGAGAAATAGAGTTGACCGTTAGATATACAGTAGGTATGTGAAATATCAAAGGTGACACATCATATGCGACCACTATAACAAATTCAAAATTAAGTAAAAAATACCTTTAAAACAATATAAGAGTCTCCTTTGTAAAACTTGCCATAGTCTCTAGCGGCTACCGCCACAGGTTCGAAGTCCTGAAAGTGAAATAGAGAAAAGAAATAATACCAATTGTTATGTTTCTTGTGAGTAAGTTTACATGTAAATCTTAGCGTCATAATTTTTGCTACTCAACAATAGATGTCGCTAACCTCAATTCTCCAAATTTCAACGCCTGCCTGTCGACCAGCGTTTGCGAATGCTGGATGAACTCTAGCTTTACTCCTGGCATCCTGTAACAAAGAAATAATATTTAAAGATACATATTTACATACAAATCATCTAATAAATGCTGTTTCTCACATTTTTTAAGAATTGAGTACATTCCTTTTTCAAAAACAATGATCCGTCGTGGGATGTCTGACAGATGTGAAACATCGAAATTATTTGTAGAAATAATAATAATAATATAATATAATATATATCTCACATACACACACGGCGGTCTGATCCCAAACTAGGCAGAGCCTGTACTATAGTAACCAGACTGCTGATAAACATACTTATATATATCTAAATACATACATATTATAGATAAATTACAGCCAGACACAGAACAAATGACCGTGCTCATCACACAATATTTGTCCAGGGTGGGAATCGAACCCACGACCTCCGGTTTAGCAGTCAGGGTTTAGAAATAATTAGTATGAAAGGATAAGATAAAGTATAATAATAAAAAAGGATAAGAAAAGAAAATAGCACCATTAAACATTTAATATTCAGACTTTTTAAAGAAAAGATAATTGCTTATGTCACCCTTCTCAAGAGTGAAGCTGTTTTTTGCGCAATATACTTTAGTTCAGTAGCTGAAGCTACGTTGAGTTGTAGTTGAGAGGCCGGGACATAACCCGAACTGTGCATCATGAAGATATTTGTAATAATCTAACCATGAATCAAGTATACCGTCCAACACCTTGGCTATAACGGTTGCGAGGGAAATGGGACGGTAATTACCCGTATCCGAAATGTCACATGTCCTGTTTTCCACAATGGGAATTGCTATGGTTTTTATGAGATTAGTATGAGGGATAAGATTATGAGACAATGTATGGAACATAGACAGGGGGGAAACATTTGTGTCTCAAAAACTCAAAAAGTTCGGTTACGATTTAGCTCAAATTTGACACGATATACAACCCGCTTCAAGTATTGTTTCATGTTAGTTTTGATCCTCATTTCTCACCAATACAAATGCAACTTACAGCTATAAATGATAAATGATATTTATTTCTGTATTTAGAAGGAGCCGGTATTTCCTAAGACTCACTCTGGGAAGAAACGCCGAAACAAACCACAGAGGTGTCTTTTTTTTTTAACTCCGTAAACAAAGTTAAATAAAACTGTGTACAGTATAGGGTCTGGATAGGCCTTTTGAGGAAAGGACCATAGTTTTGAGTCAGCCTGTCCATACAGACGGCATACAGGTTCCAGCCATCGTGTAGCCTAACCGATATTGGTCAAGATCAACGACCCGAAGCATGACACTACCGCCAGCAGGACATTTGGGTAGGCCGTAGAGACACTCAAAAAACCACCAGAAAGATAATAAAGTATTGAGTATTGAGTATTGAAAAATATGAATTAACATTACAAGCCTACACTATACTCACATTTACATACTTACACAAAAAAAAAAACTATACAATTCAAATTCAACGAAAAATAAAATACGAAAACAAAGTACGAAATACACCAAAAAAATAATAATTAATTGTCCATCACTTTCAAACTTAACAACAAAGATGTCTACGTAAATTTGGGAGTGAGCAGCATCAATCCCAAGCAAATTTGTCGTCTAAATAATCTGTAATAGTGTAGTAAGCCTTTTCACTCAGGTTTAGCTTTACTAAAGGCTTAAATTTGTTAATACTTAATTCATGGAATTTGCTTGGCACTTTATTGTAAAATCGCACACCCTGACAACGAAAAGACTTGCTTACTTTTTGTAGTGTAGTGGTTGGTAACACGAGTTTATCTTTATTTCTAGTGTTTATTTTATGAATGTCGCTAAACTTTGTGAATAAATGATTATTTTTCTTTACATTAAACTAGTTTAATATACACATTTATACTAACTTAATACAACAATTACGTGGAGACAACTTAATTATTTCATTATGGCAATCTAACTAAAAATGTATATGTGCTCACATTAAGCCCTGAATATATATTTTATATGAATACGTGAAGAAAATACTCAGTACCCGCGAAGTGTGCCGTTGAAGGACGTTGGGTTTGTGGTTATAAATAACATGTGTTCTTGGGTTGACTCTATTATAATACAATCAGAACATTACAGATAGACTTTAGTGAGTTTACGATATCGCAGACAGCAGAGCAATGACTACATAATTATGTACATGGTGCAATGTATCTTAGTGACGTGATATAATAATCTACTAAAGTAGTGATGTTACAACAATTTTGAAAACGAACAAAAGAAGTGCACAAAGCTGTAACATTTTCAAACAATACGTTATACTAATATTGTAAAGAGGCAATGTTTGTGAGTTTGTATTGTTACGAGCGGGGTATATCTATACTAATATTATAAAGCTGAAGAGTTTGTTTGTTTGTTTGAACGCGCTAATCTCAGGAACTACTGGTCCGATTTGAAAAATTCTTTTAGTGTTAGATAGCCCATTTATTGAGGAAGGCTATATATCATCACGCTAAGACCAATAGGAGCGGAGCACCAATGAAGAATGTTTCAAAAACGGAGAAAATTTGTTACTATTGAGAGACGCAGACGAAGTTGCGCGGGTCAGCTTGTAATAAATAAAAGTTGTCGGTTAATTACTTTTATTGCACTGTATTTACTAACTCACTGTAAAAAACAAGAAATCACTATAGTACTCGTTAGTCGTACTAGAAATTCACATCGATGTTAATTCGACAAACAAGAATATTGCAACTTGTCACGCGTTACTTGCAGCGCCATCTAGCGGTGTAAGGATCAGAATTAATAATCATAATGGTTGTACTATACTCGATACTAGATGGCGCTCAAATTCTGGAGCAATCAAAACATTAATTCCTATGGCGCAACAGTATGTTCGCGGCAATCTCTGGTCCGATTTTGAAAATGATTCCACTGTTACAAAGGTATACTCGTATTATCCCTGCGTGCAATTTGCTATTTTTTACTACAATAACCAACATACACGCGGGCAAAATCTAGTGTGTTTTAAGGTTAAAAATAATGTACGGGTCCAGCATATTGACTACACGGATGGCGAAGTGGTTTAACCGGTCGTTACGCCGCCCACTACTACGCTGAGTGTTGTGGTTCCGATCCCCACATGGGACACCACACTTTGTGTGATCCACAAATTGTTGTTCTGAGTCTGGGTGTTCTTTGTGTCCGTTTCATGTAAGTTTGTAAAGTCCCCCGCGACACAGGATTTATTCGTAGTTCGGGAGTTGCCTTTTTAAATAAAGAAAATATGTTGACCTGTCATGATACAAAAGTCTATTCAATGGCAGTTCAAGATATACTGGTCCATACATAAAATAAGACAATTACGGTCGAAATCCGATTACCCACCGACCTCGAACATATATAATCATATAACATCCAGTACAAATAACCTTAAATATAATATTAATATAATTTTAAGGTAGTAGTACCCCCTCCACACCAGCCTCCTTACCCCACCAGCCGCCCAACCATGACATCATCTAGTCCCCTACCGAGTCCGGTATTATTATAGTGCCTTTTACAATAACAAACCAATAAATTAGTGAGAATACTGTCATGGCCTGACCTAGCCACTAGGGTGCGCCGTCTCGTGGGGTGGAAAATGAGGTCAGTTGAGGCCATATTGTTTTGCCGTCTATATTCTTTTTGGCGTAATAGTCTGTAGTTTTAATGTTCTACAGAAATATACTTATGGTTTATTTAAATTTTTCAACATTTGCATTAATCCATATCTAAGTATAAAAGAACTAACTGACTCACTGACTGATTGATCAACGCACAGCTGATACCGTTGGGTCTAGAAGCATTAAATTTTGCCCAAATGTTCCTTAGGTGACGTAGGTGTGCACTAAAATAGGATTTTTTAAAATTCACCCCTAAGGGTCCAAAATGGAGGTTGGTAATATTTGGTAGTAGCGTTTTTAAACTCTCTGTAATTTGATTGAACGCGGTTGATTTGCTGTCATTTTTTAAGAGTTCCGTTGTCTGTCTAAGAAAATCATCATCAGATGCCTAAATATACCTAAAAGCCATTTAAATATTTTTTTTGTCTGTCTGTTTGTGCCGGGTAATTTTCAAAACGGCGGGACCTATTTTGATAATATTTTAGTACCAGGTAGCTGAAAACCAAAACCTCCTTTCTAAGGAGAGGCCTATGTCCAGCAGTGGACTAGTATAGGCTGTCGATGATGATGATGAGGTAGCTGTCCGTATAAGAAGTAACTTAGACTATTTTTTCTCTAAAAAAACCCTATAAAATTTTTCATAGAATCAAACTCACTAATAATAAATTTAATTATAATCTTGGTAATTTGTAATTTAATTTATTAGTATGGTAATGCGCGTAATAGCTGACGTCCCGCTTCTCATACAATCTTATAGAGCGCTATGCGAATGCCTTATAAGGTACTGCATATGCGCCTGGGGTGGTGCCGCTAAAACCTTCATGATTAATGTAGAACGCGCACAGCGCGCTGTTTTAAAAGTCCTTTTATACCTACCATATAGATATCCCACGACTGCACTTTATGAATATACAGAGGTATTATCTGTAAGGAAGTTATATATTTATGAAACACTACGGAGATATCATAGGAAAACAGTCCCTAACTTACCTGCGCAAAATAAAAGAGTAGAACGGTTTCCAGTCCCTCGTACTAAAACTAGTTTTGCACAAAAACAATACAAATTCTTAGCTCCACATATATATAACAAATATAACAAAATCGGTAAAATTAGTAAACTAAATAACCATGCAGTAAAAAAGGCCATCCTTACGTGGTTAAATTCATTAAATTATGACAGCACTGAAGACATAGTCACGAATAAATATACGTAACAAGCAAGGCATTCACATACACACAAAAATTCAAATGCACGCACATACACACATGCACGCTCACACACGCACCCGCTCGCACACACGCACCCCCAGACACACGCACACACACACAAACACAGACACACGCACACATACACACACAAACTCAGACACACACACACATACACACACAAACTGGGTAATTAAAG